TATGAGTAGAGCTGACGATTCCATTCAATTTCACATTCCCTTTCTTTCCCAAAAGTTGTTCTCATCCAGGGTGGACTGCAGGTTCGACCTCGCCTCGGTCTTATCAACAAATCCAGCCGGAGTCGAACCGTGACAATGCAGAATGGAAGCTTGACACGTTAACCTCTCGGCCACATAGCCCCGAGTGCCCTTGGGTCACAGGGCAGATGTGAATTTCAAGCGAGGTCAGGCCTTTTGCCATATCATATTTTTGGTGGGATTGCCGATGAAGCAAACTTTTATTTTCTATAACAATGGACTATTTTACTTATTTTCGTATTGGAGTAGAGTTTCGAGTAATATGAAAGACTGTTAGTTTTGTCTTTCTACGTACGCATGAACACACACATACACATGCTTCAAGATTTAATTATATGACATGAACTAACAAAATGTTCAGACTCGTTAACCTGAATTAGTTGTGGGAATCATCGCCTACTCTGATGTGGTGTGTCAAATTTTATGGCAAACCCTTTCGTCGGGACCGAAATAGATTGCTTCAAGGACAGTGTCAACAAGACGGTTGAGGTAGAGCTAAATGAAAACTGACCAAACGTAATCCTGCCTTGTCTTTCGGTGGTGTCTACCCTCGACTTTCTTCATCACAGACTTTCACTTGAAAGGGAAATGAGCTCAACAATTTCTATGCGAAAGCTAGCTGAACTGCCAATTCATCACCTTAGCTACTGGCAAGACGACAACAGTTGACTCGAGATGTCGATAAAAGAGGCACCTGAGGTATGACTTACTCGAGCGGAATGGGCCGGCTAATCCCTTAACGTTTCACACGGGTTGAACTTCGTCGCCGGGGCTATACGACGGTAAATTCACATTGGTCCAACAGAACCAGTTGGGTCATGCAGACGCGAGGCCACAGGACGAGTGAACAGCAGAAGGACGCGAATGGCTAAGATGCCAGCTCTGCGCGGCCGGGACTGTCGGTTCTGTGAGGTTGGGCAAGCCTCGTTGTGTCAACAAACACCGCATCGGTAGGACGAAAGTCAGATGCACAATGACAGTATGTGAATGCAGAGAGTGAGATTAGGGAGACAGGGTCTGGGAGTGGGAATGTCAGTGGCAGTGGCAGTGGGAGTGGGAGGAGGAAGAGCGACGTCGGGAGATGCGAGGAGTGTGTTACACAGCCAAATCACACAAGTCACCAACCACTCTCAGTGCATATCCATCCATCGACAGAGGCAGGCATCTCAGGAGGTGTTGCCATTCGCCTCGAAGACCACTCGGACAGCCGGCAGGGCAATTCTAATAGGTCTGCTGTGCACATACAGTGTTCGCAGAAGCACAAGAAAGGTGGATGCGGGGGAGCGGAGCAACAGAAAAGGGAGGGTGGCAACCGAAAGGGAACAAACAGGGGACCAGTGATAGAGTCGACGGACTGAGGGATAGAGAGACGAAAAAAGAGCACGAAAGCATTGGCCGTTTGCGTCTAAGAGGCAACGAGACAGGCTTACTGTA